CAGCAGTGGCAGGGGAGGAGTAGCGCGCAACAACAGCATCGTACAGAGTCCTAGCGGTCTTATACTGGCTAAAGTGTGCCCGTTCAGCAGATAGCACGTGACTACGAATTGCAAGACGGGCAGCAGCATCGCCCGTGGTCCACTGCGAGTGAATAGTACTGTCAGCATCAGCAGCAGGTGCAGTAGAGGGTCAGACGTAAGATCAAAAAGCGAGACAGCAGGGGCCACGATGGCAAGGGCCGCGACTGCAGGGGCCGCGATGGCAGGGGCCGCGACTACAGGGCGGCGCGACAGCAGAGGCCGCGACGGCAGAGGCCGCAACGGCAGGGGGCCTCGACGGCAGGGTCGCGACAGCTGGGGCTTCAACAGCAGGGGCCGCGTGTGCAGGGGCCGCGATGGTCAGGGGCTGCGACGGCAGGGGGCGCGACGGACAGGGGCCACAACGGCAGAGCCACGACGGTAGGGGCCGTGACGACCGGGGGCCGCGACGGCAAGGGCCGCGACGGCAGGGGCCGCGACGACCAGGGGCCGCGACGGCAGGGGCCGCGACGGCAGGTGGCACGACAGCCAGGGGCCGCGACTGCAGGGTCACGATGGCTCTAGACAGGGCCGCGACAGCAGGGTAGGCGCACAGGGCACAAGGGAGGAAGGCGCACGGGGCGCAGGTAAGGCAGGCGCGAGGCGCTCGACAGGGCAGGGAGCGCACTTCGGGCAGGACAGAAAAAAAAAATTAAGTGGTGGGCCCTTTAAAAAAACGGTCCCACTAGGGAACCCACTCTATACCATGTGAAGAATGAACGAGGGAATGAATCAACTAGGAAACAGGTGGGTACAAATGTGAAAGCCTAAAAGAATTGTACCCCATATTGACAACCCCACTACAGCCTACAATATGGTTCTGACACGAGGCGCCTCTCCCAGGTCGGTCAGTAGGTAGGTGAGCCAGCGTAACTCCTGTGCAGCCATGGCCCCTGCGTAGATCTCAGCCTCACAACTGGAGCTGAGAACAGAAGACGAGTGGGTAGACCGCCACGAAACAGAGTCGGTGCCAAGGCTGAAGGAGTAACCCTGTGACGACCGCTGCGTAGCCAAGTCGTCAACCCAAGAAGCGTCTGCGTGACCAATGAGGACAACTCGACTCCGTCCTCCAAGCACGAGCCACATGCCCGACGTACTGCACAAGTAGCGCATCACCCTCTTAGCGGCCTTCTAGTGCTCTGGTCGGTATCTCCCGGGCGCAACGTAGCGGGCCAGAATGCTAAGAGGGTAAGCAAGGTCAGGTCGAGTGCAGGTCATTAGGTACATGAGGCAGCCCACAAGCTCTGGATACGGGCCACTCGGCTCTACGGACTCATCCGAAGGCAGAGCTGAGAGCGAGTGACCAGTAGGCAGAGGAGTGGCCTGTGGCGAGGAGTACGGGAAGTCGAGCGCTGAAGAAACTGCTGCACCATGTGTGACTGAGTCACGGTAATGGTGCGCCGTGCTCTGTCCCGGGTGATCTGCAAGCCAAGATAGCTGCGCAGCTCACCCAGGTGTGTCTACGCAAGTCCCTTCTACAGCTCCGACTTCACTAGAGTCAGTGCCTCAGTGTCAGCAGTGGCAAAAACCAAGTCGTCAATGTACACGAGGGTGGAGAATGGCGGCAGCAAAGTGTCGGTGGGTAGAAACAGCGACGGGTCAGCAGTAGAGGGAGCAAAGACAAGAGCCGCAAGGGTCGTCCTCACTGTGTCGTGCTACTCGCAATGCGCCTGGCGGAGACCGTATACTGGCCGCCGGAGGCTCCACTGGGTACCACGAGGAAACGACCCAGTGAAGCCAGGTGGGCGGCGTAGCCAGATCTCCTCGTGCAGGCTGCCGTGTAGGAAAGCTGTGCTGAAGTCAAGAGAGTGAAGCTCGTAGTCACGCTGAGCAGCGTCGTGCAGCAGAAGAGTGGTCATCTTCGAGGTCGGGGAGAAGGTCTGGAAGAAGTCAACTCCCTGTCGCTAACTGAAGCCTCAAGCAACGTAACGCGCCTTCAAGACAGGCGGAGAACCCGGCGGCCGCTTCACCCTGAAAATCCACATGCCACTGACAATGTTCGCTCCAGGAGGGGGAACCTCATCGACGTAGGTGTCTGTGGACTTCCAGGATGCCATCTTTGCGTCCATGGCTGACTGCCACTGAGAGGAGTAGGGACCCTCTATCGCCTCTGCGTAAGAGCGCGGGGTCGGGATGTCTGGTGCATCCGGGTCTCCCTCGGGGGCAATCAGCTTAGACACGAGATGAGGTACAGTAGCTGCAAAGCACTCAAAGTCCTCCTGCCAGTCCTCAACGACGTTCATGCCAAGAGCACACTCACCCTCGATGGACGGAGGACAGACAGACTCAGACTCAGCAATAAGACTAGCGGCGTAGTCTAGACGACAGCGATCAGCAAAGTCGACAAGCTCAGCAACTAAGGCAGACACAGCTGTGGACTCACAGGAAGGGTCAGTGACAACAGTAGCTAGGGGGCGCGTGACGGTAGGGCTGGTAGAACGAAGTGAGTAAGACTCAGGGTCCGGACCGTCAGCAAGGGAGGACGCAAGAAGAGACGGAAGAGGGATACACAGTGGAACAGAGGAAGGACGAAGTGCCATCTGGTGCGTGCCGGGATCGGGAGGAGGAAGCGGACTCGGAACACGACAACTAGTGCGAGCAGCGCGAACAGGCGATGCAGGGCGAGACGCAGGCTCACGACGCTCAGCAAGACCTCCGGTCGGTCCAGTGTAAGGAGAAGGAGCAGGCAGTGGGGAGGCCGACGGTAACTGCCACTGCGACTGGACACGCGGTGGACACTCGAAGGGAGGAGTAGGACTAGTAGAAGGCGGAAGACCAAGAACCTGAAGGAGTGGAACGAAGTACGGTCGCGGCCGTGCAACACCACCAGAACCAGCAGAGACGGATCCAGCACCCCCAGCTTTAGGGTCTCCAGCTCCAACTCCCGCAACACCTCCAGCTCTAGCGCCTGCAGCACCACCAGCAGGAACAGCTCCAGGGCCTCCAGCTCCAACTCCTGCAGTACCACCAGCAGGAACAGATCCAGCGCCTCCAGCTCCAACTCCTGCAGCACCACTAGCTCCAGCACCAGGAGCACCTCCAGCAGAAACTGCTCCAGCGCCTCCAGCTCCAACTCCTGTAGTACCACCAGTCCTAGCAGCTCCAGTACCTCCAGTACGAGCACCTCCGGGACCAGCGGCACCAGTACCTCCAGCAGCTCCAGCAGCAGCAGGACCTCCAGCTCAAGCAGCACGGCTCCAGCGCCGAGCAAACCACTCGCGCAGTTGCGGTGGAGAGAGTGGCTCCCGCCGGGACAAGACACCCTGAGGACCTCCAGCGGACACAGTGCCTCCAGGCTCAGCACACTCAAGCTCAGCACCCTCAGACTCAGCAACCCCAGGCTCAGCACCCTTAGACTCAGTAACCCCAGGCTCAGAACCCCAAGGCTCCGCACGCTCAGGCTCAGCACCCCCAGGCTCCGCACCCTCACACTCAGCAACCCCAGGCTCAGCACCCTTAGGCTCCTCACGCTCCGGCTCAGCACCCCAAGGCCCCGCACCTTCGAGCTCAGCACCCCTAGCAGTACCAGAGTCGACAGCTACCTCGCCAGGCTCGACAGGGTCTACCTGGGACACACCTGAGGGGGTAGTACCCTGAGGGGGGAGGGGGTCTACCAGAGGAGGACCTAGTGCTAGGAAGAGCGGCGGGGGGGGAGGGGGGCAGTGCGGTAGGGGAAGAGACGGTGAAGGGAACCGACTCGTCAAACGTGACGTCCTGAGAGGACAGAACACAACGCGAGGTGGGGTGGTAAAACTGCCAGCGAGGCGCGTCAGGGGGGGAGCCAAGGAAGACGCAGGGAACAGCACGGGAGGACAGCTTGTCCGCGGAAGAATCGCGGACAAAAGCTCGAGATCCTCAGACACGGAATGCAGACGCATCGCAACCCTTCACCGTCTACCGTAGAGCATGTGTGGTCTCTGAAAAGGAGGCACGGGGCTGGAGGTTGAGCTGATGCGCAGCGTACTGAACCGCGAACGGCCACAGAAAATGGGGAGCAGCCGCATGGATCATGGACGTATGAGCGACGCCCATGACCATGCCAATGCGGTGCTCAGCAATCCCTTTTTGCTGTGGAGAGGCCGGAAGCGTGAACGTCCGGCGGAAGGAACGCAGGTAGGGGCAGGCCCCTGGGGAAGGGGAGGGAGAGACCGGGGAAGACCAGTGACAAGGACACGGGAGGCCATGCCTCGGAGACGAGGCAGGGAGGGGTGACCAAGGCGGTGGTGCCAGAGGAGAGTCTGGTGTTACAGGAGACGACACGAACAGGGGGCAGACTCCGTACCAGACCTGGACTCAGCAGCAAACACCTGACCAGACGCGGCTAGTGGAGGGGACGCAGTAGTTTGGGTGTACAGGCTCGACCCAGGCTGACGGGTAAACGTGGCGAGGTGGCTGCCCGTCCTAGTACACGTACAGTGGGTCACCCGCTGACCACCAGGAGTGAACTGGTCAACCCAAACGTCCTGGAGGTCAGCTCCACTCACCAAGTTCGTACAGAACGAGGGGAGGTGGAGACCTGACAGTGAGCGAGACGGGACCGCCAGACACGGCAGAACCGTGGAAGATTGTGCAAGGACTGGGCCCCCAGAGGGGTCCGCTAGGGAGACAGCAACAGGCGGACTAAGCGGCGTGAGTGTGGTGCAGTCGCGAAAGAAATAGCGGGAAGCACCGGAGTCAAGAGTGAAAGTGTCCAAGGCCTTAGCAGGCGCAGTACCTGAGAGATCAGACTCACCAGCACCTGGAGCAGCAGGCTCACTAGTACCTGGAGCAACAGACTCACTAGCACCTCGAGCAGCAGCCTCTATACCTGGGTCAGGCGGCACACACAGGTAACAGTCACCCTCACGTAAGCGCAGGGACCAGCAACCCCAGACCTCCCACGCCCAGCGTACCACTCCCGAAGTTGCTGGGGCGAAGGGGCCTCACGGGAGCGCGGCTGCTGCTGGCGCTGGCCACCACCAAAGCCTCCACGCTGCACTGCTCTACCTCGACCAGCACCACCGCCGCCGCCACCCCCACTGCCGCTGCCACCGCCGCCTCCACCTCCACCGCCGCCACCTACGCCCCCGCTCCCGCCTCCACCCTCACCTCCACTCCCACCCCCTCCACCTCCTCCACCGCCACCACCGCCGCCCCCGCCGTCCCCTCCACCACCCTTGCCCCCCCTGCCCTTGCCATTGCGGCGCCTTCCACTAGGAGCAGACGCAGCCCCGATCGCCTCGGTGCCAACGAGGTTGACAGCAGGAGCAGAAGCAACAGAGGGCAAAAGGGGGACGGGGGAGCACCCCTCAAAGAAAGGGGCGCGAGGGTCAACGCGAGACGCTCCTATAGCGACTATGCTAGTCTTAGCTGCAAGGAGGCGCTCCTCGAGCAGGTAGACGGTGAGCTCAGTGGGGCAAAGGGAGAGAAAGTGGTCCCTGACTGAGCGGAGAGAGGCAGAGAGACGGGTGACTAGGTAGAAAAGGGTGATGTACATGGGGGGGGGTTCTTGGCGCAAAACTCGGAAGGAAGCGCAGTGCTGTAGCGGGTGTGACTAGTACGGAGGTGAGTGATGAAGTCAGCGACTGTGGAAAACGCGGCTAGGTCAGGGAACAAGTACGGCAGCATGAAACGGTTGAGGGCAGCGGAGGCAGGGGAGGAGTAGCGTGCGACAACAGCATCATACAGAGACTTAGCAGTCTTGTACTGGCCAAAGTGCATGCGCTCAGCAGACGGCAGGTGACTACGAACAGCAAGGCGAGCAGCGACGTCACGGGTAGTCCTCTGCGAGCGAACTGTACTGTCAGCGTCGGGAGCAGGTGCATCAGAGGCGCCGGACGTGTGATCGAACAGTGAGACTCCGTCCTTGGAGTCGCACTGAAGATAGAGCTGCAAGTCATCTACCCACACCTCAAAATCGACCGCACGGCCGTCAGCATCGAAGGTAAACAAAGTAGGACTAGCCATGGCGGCAGTAGCAGCACGGAAGGGCGGCACGACACGGCAGGGCGGCGCGGCTCGGCAGGGCGGTGCGGCTCGGCAGGGCGGCGTGGCTCGGCTAGGTGGTGCGGCGCGGCAGGCAGGCAGGCGCAGCAGCGTGGGGCGGGCGCTTACTAGGGGCGGGTGCAGGGTAGGGCCGCGACCGGCGGGTAGGGCAGGGCCGGTACAGGGCGGCAGCTGGGCAGGGCTGCAACTGGGCCGATGCGGGGAAGGGCCGCGACGAGGCGGCATAAGGGCAGGGCCGCGAATAGCGGCAGCAAGGTAGGGTCACGACGGGCGGCAGGGCCAGGCCGCGGGGGGCGGCTAGGGCTGGCCGCGAAGGGCAGCGTCAGGGCAGGGCCGCGACAGGCGGTTAGGACAAGGCCGCGACGGGCCGCGAAAGGGCAGGGCCGCGACGGGTCGTTAGGGCAGGGCCGCTACGGGCCAGGAGGGCAGGGCCGCTACGGGCGGCAGCAGAGCAGGGCGCGCGACGCCGCGTTTGAGGCAGGCGCGAAGCGCGCTTCGGGCAAGGAAGGAAAAAAAAAACTATTCGTGGTGGGCCCTAAAAAAAAAACGTTCCCCCTAGGGAACCTGCTCTGGAACCATGTCGAAGTTAGGAACGAAGAAGTGACTAGAAACACAACAGTACAAGGTTTGTATCGGCAAAACCTAATTTGGGCTGTACCCCTTAAGGAGTGCCCCACTATAGCCTAGAGCATAGTTCTAACAGATATTGCGGTCCAGTCTTACATGGAAGACCTGGCTCAACGAGCATTCCCACAACCAGCGGATGGTGTTGACCCTGGTCGTAATGTGGTTCGTCGTGCTCGTAGCACTCGTCCTAAGAAGCACTCCACAGCAACGAGGATGTTGCCAGTTGGAGGAGGAGGAGTGTAACATCTTGACCCTCCCACCTGGTCTTGATACGTCGAACCAGCTGTGAGGGGGAAACAAGGGGAGAAACATGATTGGTTGGAGTTTGATTGGAAGCGAGGAATTTGGGATTGACTTGATTGGAAAACTCGCCAATTAGAGCTCTGCTATACAATTGTGACAGACGCTACGCGATAGGTTTGAAAACAACCCACGTAAGTTCAAACATCACCCTTGCCCAACCATGAGAAAAGAGAACGAGAATGATTGAACTATGAACAGTTGGGTACAAGTACTAACCCTAATTGGGTTGTACCCCTTATGGGCTGCCCCACTACAGCCTACACAAAAGTATAAGCTATAATGTTCTGACAAACCAATCAAAACATACTCACACAAAGTTGTCAGATTACTATAGCTTATACATGTTGTAGGCTGTAGTGGGGTAGCACATAAGGGGTACAACCCAATTAGGGTTGGCACTTGTACTGTTTTCATTTCATAGTTGATCATTCCTGTTCCTTACTTTCACATGGTATAGAGCGGGTTCCCTGTGGGAACTTCGCCTAGGGCCCACCGAAGCGCGCCCCGAGGCGCGCGATCGTTTTTTTTTGCGACCCCCCGAGTCGCCCTTCCCCACGCGGCCCCGCTGCCCTTCACGCAGCCCCGCCGCCCTTCCTAGCGGTCCCGCCCACCCTTCCAGCGGCCCCGCCTCTCCTTCGCGGCCCCGCCGTCTAGTCGCGGCCCCACCACCTCCTCGCGGCCCCACTACGACGCGGCCCCGCCGCCTGCTCGGACGCGGCCCCGCCGCCTGCTCCGACACGGCCCCGCCGCCCGCTACGAAGCGGCCCCGCCGCCTGCTCAGACGCGGCCACGCCGCCTGCTCAACCGCGGCCCCGCCGCCCGCTACGACGCGGCCTCCGCCGCCTGCTCAGCCGCGGCCCCGCCGCCCTCTACGGCGCGGCCTCCGCCGCCTGCTCAGCCGCGGCCCCGCCGCCCGCTACTACGCGGCCCCGCCGCCGGCTCAGTCGCGGGTGCTCCCAGCGGCCCGCCGCTGCACCTCTGCCGGCTCCGCCGTCTCCTGTCCCGGCCCCGCCGTCCCCTATCCCGGCCCCGCCGCTGCTCCCTGACGGCCCGCCGCTACGCCCTGACGGCCCGCCGCTGCACCTAACCCGGCCCCGCCGCTGCACCCTGACGGCCCCGCCGTCCCTTGTCCCGGCCCCGCCACTACACTACAGCCGAGCCGCCCAGCAGCAGCCGGACCGCCCAGCAGCAGCCGAGCCGCCCAGCAGCAGCCGAGCCGCCCAGCAGCAGCCGAGCCGCCCAGCAGCAGCCGAGCCGCCCAGCAGCAGCCGAGCCGCCCAGCAGCAGCCGAGCCGCCCAGCAGCAGCCGAGCCGCCCGGTACCCGAGCCGCCCGAGCCGCCCGATCCGCCCGAGCCGCCCGAGCCGCCCCACCAGCCCGAGCCGCCTGCTGCTGACCTACCCGACTCTCCTAGCCCGGTGAGACTTTCAGCTGCTGCCATGGCCACCCCCAATGTTCTTACTTTTGACGCTGAGGGGAGGGCCATTGACTTTGCCGTCTGGATCGAAGACCTGCAGCTGTACTTACTGTGTGATGCGATAGATGAGGTCTCTCTCTTTGACTTTGTCTCTGGCGCTGTCCCTGCCCCGCCTGCTGATGCTGACTCTGCTGTTCGCTCCAAGTGGGCGACCCGCGATGCTGCTGCACGTCTTGCTGTGCGTCGCCACCTCCCTTCCTCTGAGCGTGCCCACTTTAGTCAGTGCAAGACCGCTCAGGCCTTGTACGACGCTGTAGTTGCACGCTACTCCTCCCCTTCCTCCGCTACCCTTAGCCGCCTCATGCTACCGTTTCTATTCCCTGACCTCGCTTCCTTTCCCACTGTTGCTGACCTCGTTACCCACCTCCGCGCTAGTGACACCCGCTACCGCGCTGCCCTTCCTGCTGAGTTCCGCGCTGCGAACCCTCCTCCCATGTACATCACTCTCTACTTTCTCGTCACCCGTCTCCCTGAGTCCCTTCGTGTCGTTAGGGACCAGTTTCTCTCTGTCTGTCCCACCACTCTCACTGTCGACCTCCTTGAGGAGTCCCTGCTAGCGGCTGAGAAGAGTATAGTCGCTGTAGGGGCCTCTCGGGGTGACCCTCGCACCCCCATCTTTGAGGGGTGTGGTCCTTCCCCCCTGCTGCCCTCTCTCGCCTCTGCCGCTGCGGCCGACCTCGCTGGTTTTGAGTCGGTCGGCGCGGCGTCTGCCCCCAGCGGCAGACGCCGCTCTGGCAAGGGCAAGGGGGGCAAGGGAGCGGGTGGAGCTAGAGGGGGCGGTGGAGGAGGCGGTGGGGGTGGAGGGGGGAGTGGGGGTGGCGGTGGGGGTGGTGGCGGGAGTGGAGGTACTGGTGGCGGCGGTGGAGGCGGAGGTGGCGGCGGAGGTGGTAGCGGAGGAGGCGGTGGGAGCGGTGGGGGCGACGGTCCTGGTGGGGGAGGTGGCGGTGGAGACGGGGGTGGCGGTGGAGGCGGGGGTGGCGGTGGAGGCGGGGGTCGGAGTGGCTCGTCCCAGCGGAGCAGCTCTGGGGGTGGTCAGCGCCAGCAGCAGCAGCAGCAGCAGCAGCCGCAGCAGCAGCGCTCTCGCACCGTCCCCGGCCCTCAGCAGCTCCGTGAGTGGTACTTGCAGCGTCAGCGTGGTGGTGCGCTTGGTCCCTGCCCCTACGTTCTTCGCACTGGTGACCGTGCAGGGGAGAGGTGTGGAGGCGCCCACACAGCCCGTCGCTGCTTTGGCCGCCTGACCGACGCCTGGCGTCAGCAGTTTCCGGAGGCCGCTGAGATCCCCCGCTGGGGAGAGCTGTCTAGGGCTGGTGTAGCTATTTATGATCTTGACTTTGATGCTATTCTCTCTGCTATGTATGCTGTGACTGGTAGTGATGAGGATGACTGTTACCGGTGTTTCCCGCCCGACCCGGGCATTGGTACTGCCGCGTCAGGTACTAGTGAGGCTGCTGCTCTAGGTGCCAGTGCGTCTGTGCTCTCAGGTACTGGTGAGTCCGCCCTCTCAGGTACTGTGTCGGCTTCGGCCTCTCACACCTTCACCCTTGACTCTGGGGCGTCTCGCTCCTTCTTTAGGGACCGCACCACTCTCACGCCGCTGAGTCGGCCTGTTGCGGTGTCCCTGGCTGACCCCTCTGGGGGGCCTGTCCTGTCTCGCTTCTCCACTGTCCTCCCGTGTCCGGCGGCCCCCTCTGGCACCCTGACTGGTCTCTACCTCCCCTCGTTCTCGACGAACTTGGTGAGTGGTGCTGACCTCCAGGATGCGGGTGTCCACCAGTTCACCCCTGCTCGTCAGCGGGTGACCCACTGCACGGAGGCGGATACAGGTCGCCACCTGGCTACGTTTACACGTCGGCCAGGGTCGAGCCTGTACACACTGACCACTGCTTCTCCTCCAGGTACTGCGTCTGGTAGGGTCCCTTCGTCTGGTCAGGTGTTTGCTGCAGCGTCCAGGTCTGGTCCTGAGTCTGCCCCCTGTTCGTGTCGTCGTCTGTCTCACGAGACCCTCCTCTGGCACCACCGCCTTGGCCATCCCTCTCTGCTTCGGCTCAGAGGCATGGCCTCGCGAGTCCTTGTGTCTGGTCTTCCCCGATCCCTCCCTCCCCTTCCTCCGGGCCCTGGCCCTGCCTGTGTCCCCTATGTCGAGGGGCGCCAGCGTGCTGCCCCTCACTCCTCCCAGTTTCCTCCGACAGAGGCCCCGTTGCAGACGCTTCACATGGACGTGTGGGGCCCAGCCCGCGTCCGTGGACAGGGTCAGGAGCGCTACTTCCTGCTGGTGGTTGACGACTACTCGCGTTACACCACAGTCTTCCTCTTGCGCAGCAAGGGTGAGGTCACTGAGGTGTTGATCGACTGGATCCGCGCAGCTCGTCTTCAGCTTCGGAGGAGCTTTGGCTCTGACTTCCTTGTTTTGCGTCTGCACTCGGACAGAGGCGGAGAGTTCTCCTCTGCCCTCCTGAGTGCCTACTGTCGTGTGCGAGGCATCCGTCAGACCTTCACGCTTCCGGACTCACCACAGCAGAATGGGATTGCTGAGCGCCGCATTGGCATGGTCATGG